ACTTACAAAGACTTAGGCCACAGTATTTTCGACGGCTATGCTAATTGGTTCACTTTTGCCCTATCCTTGGGCACTATAATTACTCTGTTTCTTATAAAAACGTATATAGATCCGATGATCAAAAAGAGATGTCGGATACCAATTCCATATGATTTGTTTGTTGTGAGTCCTTTAATAACTTCGTCTTCACACTTACGCTGCACTTGTACTGTACTTTTAGATGATTATTGGTACGATTGTTTCTTATACTGTAAATCTAAACTCACGTTTTGGTGTAAAGATCATAGGACACATACCTACAGGGTAAGGTGTTCAAATATTCTCAGTTTTAAAAGCGTTTTCCTAGAAAAATCTCTTTAAGGCTCCCATCGCCATCATTTCCTGATGTTTCACTTTTTGGATATGTAATGGGTGATGCTCTGGCTATTGCCGTTGTGAGCCTAGTCGTCACTATATCGATGGGAAAGCTTTTCGCGAAGAAACACAATTACGAAATTGATGTTAGGCAGGTAAGGTAAAAAGTCAAAGCGTGTAATCATCCTCGAATGGCAAGCCGTAGGCATGGGTGAAGTATGAGCTACCTATAATGTGGGTAAACTTTACTTTTAAGCCAAATGCTTAAGGAGACATTCTTACCGTGGCAGTCGCATATCTTCAGTCAGTTCGCAATTATTACCGTAGTAAACAGGCGTAAAAATATTATTTGTGCGCGGTAAAGCGAATTTTGCTCATAATTCTTAAAAAATTACTGCAAAAGTCCATTAAGAGCCTTTTAAAGCCTAAGAAGACAAATGAAGAAGATCTCCAATCAAAGCATTTGAGAATCCCATATTTTACCTTTATTTCAGGACTAAATGATACAAATCCCACCTCTAAATGAGTGAAAGACGCAATTTTTTATGTTTTAGGAATTCTATGCCATGGGATTTATGGAAACTCTTTGCTCCTTGTTTCCTGTTTGGCCAGCTTCCACAGCACTTGCTCGAACGCTGGTTTACGAAGCTGCTGGTACTAAAACACAGGTAAATTTGGCTCTTCTCAAAAATTAGGCGCTGCATGCGCAAATGATATTTTATATGTATATACGTTCAACATTTCAGCTTGCTACCGTATTCTCTTCCATCCTGCTGCTTGCAGTCATATTTTTCATCGGCCCATTTATTGAAGTATTGCCCATTTGCTTCTTGTCTTGTATCATTATAGTCGCACTTAAAGGAATGTTTATGCAATTGAAAACACTAAAGACTTTATGGCCGATATCAAAAACTGATTTTGTAAGTTCTGCTTTACTGAGCTTTCTTTTGTAATTTAAGTAGCAGTGTTTCAGGCCATTTTCTTAGTAAGTTTTGCTGCGACAGTGCTCTACGATGTCATTGAGGGGCTCGTGATCGGCGTCGTTTTTGCCGCTGCCTTACTTATATTTGGCATTTTGAAGTAGGTTTCATGCTAAGTTTCAACAGCAACCTTTAGTAAAAGTTATATTTCCAGTGCAAAAGTAGTTGAAATCGGTCGTTTGAGCCATAGTGAAGGTAAATCCTACTATCAGCCTATTGAAAAGTACAGGTAAGTGAAGGTTAAGTTTAACCTTGTAATCATTCGTTTAGTGTAAACTTTTCAGAGATGCTGCTATCAGCGAAGGAGTTTGCTGTGTTCGATTTTCAGCTCCTATAGTCTATATAAACGCTGATCATTTCAAAAAAGGTGTTGAAGAGATAGCTCGACTACCTGCTCTAGAACGAAGGTGACTTGAACATACGCTTGCTTATGTAGAACTCGTTAACTTCTCAACTAAGCTCAAATGTTTTTTCCAAATTATCGAAAGTCATTGAAATAGACATGCTCTTGCGCATAACATTCAAATTTGGCAGAAAAAGCGCAGAACACAAATCAGCACAAAATGGTGGTATCATCAACGTAGCTCTTCTCCAAAATTTGTGTTTCTAGTAGCTTAATTAAAATGGAAAATCTATAGCAAAGATGTGTTAAGTACTCAACAGACTAGAAAATTGCTCAGTTAGCTATTTTCGTTTTCAAACTATAAAAAAATGGATTCTGCTCAAACACTGCAAAGATGTCAAGATTTCTCACGGATCTAAAATAACCATTTAAAGATCAATGTTATTGATCTTTTGAGTGGACAATTGGAAGTCGATTTCTGTCAAAAAGGACTGTCAATATTAGTGGTGGAGTACTAGTGTTGAAATATTTTCTGTGAGGTTTAGCTAGTGAGAATCCACTTTAAAAAATTGAAAGTGGAAAATTCAACATTCTTAAACGAGCAAAACGTTTTATAGCCATCATAAAGTCTTTTTTACCAGTTCTACTTTTTGAAAGACAGTAAACGTCTCTAATTAAATTCCAATCCCATTGCTAACAAACAAAATAACAGTGAACCTAAAAATTTTTATTTGCAGAAGATTGGAAGATCTGAGTGAACGAGAGAAATCTTTAAAGGACAGCCAAAAGGAGCCACCAGTCACACTACGCAGCGTAAAGATTGTTGCACCTGATGTGTTAGAGAAAGTGAGTTCTCATGTAATTTCATATCATGAAGTGCTTTGTTTTACAAAAACATGTTATAAAATATTTTTAGAAATTCTCGCTTACCGAAGTAAAGCATGAGCCTGTACGAGCTATAGTAGTTGATCTGTCGACAGTCCCTCATGTTGATATTACGGGTGCTAATTGCCTCATTGAGGTGAGTTTGATAGCCTGCCTCGACAAGGATGAAATTGTTTCATTTTTAAAATTCCTCTTCCAGATATTCAAGGAGCAACGAAAAAATGGAGTCAGAGTGCTGTATGCAGCGGCTCCATGTAAGTTCCAGAACTTCATGTCATTTCTAGCTC